AATCAGTATAATCAAACACAGCTGGACTCAAATGAAGGAGTAGAACCATCTCAGGGATGATCAGATGAAATGGACAGAGCCTAAGTTAAATATATGAGTGTCACAGCAAAGGGTCTGAATACTTATGACCATGTGATATTTCAGTTTTTCTTTTTTAATAAATCTGCAAAAATGTCAAAAATTCTGTGTTTTTCTGTCAATATGGGGTGCTGTGTGTACATTAATGAGGAAAAAAATGAACTTAAATGATTTTAGTATATGGCTGCAATATAACAAAGAGGGAAAAATTTAAGGGGGTCTGAATACTTTCCGTACCCACTGTATATATACATATACATATATATATACACACACACACGTGTGTGTGGATAGATATAAAGACATATAGATATATAAAAATGTGAGTTTTTCATCCTTACATGACTCTCTATAGTTTATATTAATGCAAAAATAGAGCTAAAACAATAAACCTGCAGAAATAATGCAATACAAACAATTGGAAATTCTGTTATCTTGCAAGTTAAGAGTAATAAAAAGAGTCAAAGAAAGAAAATACAAAAAAAGAAGTGTCTTTAATGACATGGGCTACATTTGTACATTTCTACAGTACATTTTCAGTCAGGCTAACTGCCAGTTAGAAAAAAAGTGGAGAAAGATTTACTTATAATAATTGACAAACTGGGTAAGATGTCAGAGGGTTTGAAATTAAATAGGTAATGTACATAACCACTATTTTGTACCATTAAATAATAATAAAAACGTTTAATCTGAACAATCAATGTGAAATATAAATTACATTAAAGCACCATTTCAAGACTGAGGATAGTAAAATAAATTATTGGCCTTTCCATATCAAGACAGTACATTTTCACTGAATGTAAGGCTGTGCAGTCACACTGAACCCTCCTGTCCAATGATGTCAAATGGGTTCAACACAGAGTAAAGCATAACACATGGGGACGGCTCACGACTTCCACAATCAACAGCAAATAACTATGGTTACAATATGAACACCTATGAGTGTGTAGCTCTATCACCAACAACAAAATGATAGTAACTACCGAAGGTGGTGCACAACTTATCTTTCTGTTCTTTCCTTAAAAAAAAAGCAAAAAAAAAAAAGATAGACCATATAAATGACAATAGTGAGTTACTCAGAGAAGATTGTCACTTTATGTAATATGGTATCATTTAAAAGTTTCTCAAACTTCCAATTAAGGGAAGTCCTATCACAATTATCTCATATTGTACTGTCCCTCAATCCATTAAGCACAAATGGCTTGAAAGAAAAGAAAAGAAAAGAAAAAAAAAAGCCATTTGTCCCAGTCACCCATCCACATACTTCAGGTACACAACAGAGCAGCACTGAAAGGCTGCAGTTCATACGTCACGTCTTCACCCAGTAGAGCTGTCCTACAATATATATTTTTTCAGGTCTGGGAAAAAAATTTAACTGTACACTGCTCATGAACAAGCCTTTCATTTATGTACTACTGACTAATCTTACTTAAATCAGGAAGAGCAACAGTCACACAATTAAGTGCGGCAACAGAGCTTACTTTTATCCCTCAAGACACGCCTGCCAAACGCACGCACACACTCACATGGTTACATACACACACAGTAAGAAAAGAGCTTAGTACGAGTATAAAAAGGAGAATAGACAGATGCTTCAAAAATCACAAGAACATATTAAAGACTGAGGCACAAGACTGCCTTTTTAAAACCTACCAAAACAAGTACCAGCACCCAGTGATGGTGCTCCTGTCGCCATACATGTTATAGAAAATATCATACCGCTATGTTATAGTGAGGGGCTTTCAATGTTTACAGGGCCTGTAGGTTTGTATTTTCTGTCACAAATATACAGTATTTACCGTTTTGTTTTGTTTATGTGTTTTAAATTTGGTATTCTTAGCAAATCTGTAGTGGCTATTTCATTTTTAAAAACACGCAGTGGGTAAAACACACTGTTAGGCCCACTTTACATAAAATTCTGTACAAGTTATTTATACATTAACAGTCCATCAAAATAATTATTTAAAAGACATCAGTGAGTGGGCTTTGATAACTGGTATACTATGAATTACAACGGTTACAAAAATGACAGACACTATATCATCGCCTTCAGGCAAACCAATGTCCAAATGTGTCCCAGGATCCAGAGTCTCCAGCAGGTTTTAATCTAATTGAGGGCTCAAATATATTAATCAGAGTACTGGAGATCTAAGTCGACTGTGCCATCCGTCACAACTAACCTCACCCTCTTAGGTTTTGTAGCACCCATGGAGTGAGATGATGGAACAGGCCCACAGTGTGGGGCACCATGGTGTTCCCCAGGCTGGCACTGTTGCTGCATGTCCTTCCTGTAATGTTCGTCCTGACTTTTGAGGCCTGTAAATCCACCCAAGGAAAAAGATGCTTGATTTGAAAGCTGGGGTGCACAGGGCTCAAGAACCAGCCGCCCCTGTGTGCCTGAAGGTTCCATGAGGCAATGGTAGGTATAGTTTGTTGAGCCTAGACCTGGGCAACCCTCAGGCCCATCCCTGAGACCCAGGGTCAAAGAATGATCACCACTGAAGTTGAGTA